CAATGATGCATTCTTATGCCATGTAGTAAAGCCAAGATATAGTTGTTTTTTTTTAATTTGTTTATAAATTTACCAGTTTTATATAAAGTTGCCTAGTAATATTAATTAGTTGAGTAAAAAGATTATAACCTGCATTTAATAATGAAAAGAAAAATTCAATGACTATTTTGAATAGGTTTATGCCACCCGATGATCCATTGGGAAGACACGGTCCAAGCTTAGAAAATTTTCTCCGCAAGCGCCCTGTTGTTCCAGAGCACAAAAAACAACCCTGCCCTTATGGTAAGTTTTCCAAGTAACTTTTCAAGGCAATATCTGAAAAATGCAGAATTTTATCATTATAATTTAATTGTTTAATTTCCTTCTACTCTTTCTCTAAACAAGGGAAAAAGTGCACATATGGACATAAGTGCAAGTATTATCATCCAGAGCGTGTCAACCAGCCACAGCGGTCAGTGGCTGATGAACTACGGGCCTTTGCCAAATTGTCTGCGGTAAAGACAATGAGTGAGGGGGCTTTAGTCAAATGCGGTACTGGTCCAGCAACTTCAAAGGGGGACAGCAGCTCTGAGGTCAAACGTGTGGCACCCAAACGTCAGTCTGATCCCAGTATTTGTTCGGTGGCCTGTGAACCTCCAGAGGCACTGTCCACTGTTAGGAAGTCTGAGACGAATTCAGTGCCTTCCCTTGTGTCTGCTCTCAGTGTGCCCACCATGCAGCCTGCCAAGAGCCATGCAGCTGGGGCCTTGAACACACGATCAGCCAGCAGCCCAGTGCCAGGTTCTCTGCAGTTCGCACACAGTTCTCTGGAGCACATGTCTAGTGTACAGTACCCTCCTATTTTAGTTACTAATAGTCATGGCGCCTCTGTTACGTATGGTGAACAGTTCCCAAAGTATGACTCAGTTAGCGACCATGGATATTATTCACTGCACAGCGATTTTTCAAACATGAGCATGAGCAGCATGCATAATGTTGACAGTTTCTGTAGCATGGAACACGAGCATGGTGTGTATCAGAGAAATCCCAGCCACTGCCCTGAATCCTGCCTCAGCCATTCTAACAGTGACTCATTCTCTTCTTATGGGGACCTGTACCCAAGTTCTGTGGACAGTAGCTTAGAGGAGAGTATGAAGGGCCAGCAGCAGTCTCCTGCACAGGGCAGGATGCAGACTTTCTCCCATGGGTTTCGCCATGAAGCACTGACTAGGGTACAGAGTTACGGACCAGAGGAGCCCAAGCAGGGCCCCCGTAAGCAGTCTGGATCTCATCTAGCACCACATATCCAGCATGCTGCAGTGTCAGCCAGGTCCAGCTGCCCTGGAGACTATCCCCTAACTCAGAATATCCTCCCGCCTTTGTCCTCACAGCCTACACGGTCTCTTGGTATGACTCGTATGGACAGCATATCAGATTCAAGGCTATATGACAGTAACCCAATGCGACAGAGGCGACCTCCACTGTGCCGTGAGCAGCATGCAAGCTGGGACCCTTTGCCTTGTGGTAATGAGTCCTACGGATATCATTCATATCCACTGAGTAACAGCCTGATGCCGTGTTGTGAGCGGGTGATGGTTCGCAGCATGCCCGACAAAATGGAACAAATCTGGAACTCGCCATGGGAGATGCCATCTGCAGCTGAACACCAAGAGCGGTATGTCATCCCAGACCACCAGTACCAAACATATCGGAACCTTTGTAACATCTTTCCTGCTTATGTAGTCCACTCAGTAATGGAGAAGAACCCTCATTTGACAGATCCACAGCAGCTGGCCGCTGTCATTGTTACAAAATTGAGGTCATGCCACTGAGCAGTTAATGATATGAAGCATCCAAAAGAAGAATTTTGATTGATTTTTTTGATTGAATTTTGATTCAGTGTTGCTGCATGTGCAACATCTGCCCTCAGGAGATAGTATTTTTTTTAAATGTCTCTGGTGGGAAATCACATTTTGCATACGAGTTGACAGAAGTAATCAGCATAGAGAAAGTTTAATACATTAAAGACAAACTAAGATGTTTAACATATGAAACCTATGTTTTTAAATGAAGTGTGATGCAGTTTATATAATGTAACATCTTATTAGATATCTGGTTCATAACACATTCATACAACCTGAGCAGCAGCTGCACTGCAGGTTTGCACCAAAACCATGATCAGCTGAACCTTAGTTTAAAATCATGGTTAATTCTAGATAATACACACCTACAGAATTATCTGCTAACATCTGGCAGGAGATCAGTTGATTTTTAATTAATTACATCATGTTATTATAAAAATTATATTTTCAGACCCAAAGTGCTCAATATTGAATAACTGAATCATTTTGAGAAATAGTCATATGAATATATTTTTTAGGATTCATTTTCATGTCACAATTGACTTTTTTTTTAGTATTTGCTTTGTCAGTTTTGTTTTTATAAGTATTCTTCTTAATTACACTTTTACTTTAAGAAATTGTATTTCATAACGTTAAATCTGATAATGTTACTTTTTATTTAATTCTATCAATTTTTATGACAGTGGTGTAAGTCACTATACTCACCTTCCAGCTCCGTGCATGTCTCCTGTCTCCTAAACCAACATGCTCATTAGCTGCTACTGTGCCTGGCCACTTAGCTTGCCAGTAAAAGCAGTAGTGTCAGAGTCATTATGAATCAACCATTAGGCTGTTGCTCTAAGTAGATGGCACAGTGACCTAGAAACTATTATTTCTCATTATTTATTGAGGCAACCGGCTGCAGACGTTACCGACCTAGCTGGTTGGGGTTATGAGCTAGGTTTTTTGAAGAGACATTGTTAATGGCAGCTGCTAACGTTAGCTAGTTAAGGGTTACCTGAGTGCTGTTTTGGTTCTAAAGATGTCCTTGGAAATTAGAGCAGTAACATTATAAGTCTTGTTAAGAAACCCCTTAAAACTAATGAGATTTTTTTAGTCTTTTTTTTTTTAACTTTGTTAGCAGCAGTCTTCAATTTGGTAACTATAGTGTTGTTGTTGTAGCTAACAGGAGCTATGTAACTAATTTTGCTAGCTTCAGTTTAGCTGAAAGGTGAGATGGCCCTGGACACACCTGTCATGTACCTCAACTCATGCGAACCAATATTTCTTATTCCTTTCTTGAATTATTTAAGACATTTTTGTTCTATTTATATATTATGCACAGTTTATTTACATCCAGATGTTTATTTATTTAACAATATACAGTATGTATTGCATATTTAATATTGATTAATTTGGGATTCCATAAAGATGATGGCCAGCTGGTTAACCAGCCTAATTTAAATCTAGCTGGTGCCCTAATGTAATCCTTACTCATGTAGCTAGCTAGTGTAATACTAAACCTAATTCTTATGTGAGTCAGTGTGTGAACTAAGTCTATCAATAAACAGCTTAGTTACATGGTAACACAGTCAGGATAAGAAGTAATAACTCAGCAACTCTCCCACATTTGCCATATTAAATTTGACGGAGTACATCATCATTTGTACACCATGCAATTTTTTAAAGATCTTGTTCAGGGCCTGTGAATGTGTTATGAAAGGCATCTATAGTGTTTCTTGTCCAGTAGAACTATAAATAACCTTGCTTAGGCCTGCCTCTGCTGTAAATAATTATTGTCTTTTTTGTGCTTTTATTTTGAAGAGAAGTAAGAGGGAGGTAGGTACATACCTCACAGCTATGACATTTAATGGCCTTATATCTGAATGACCTCACGTTTTAGTCATTGTCTGATTGGTTTCAGTGAAAGTCTCAGTCATTGAAGCCTCCTATACTTTCAAATGTAAAGCACTATCTCATTATCTAAAGAGATATATTTTCTCAGCCTCACTTAACAAAGCTACTATTTTGGTAGAATTTGACAGTGCACAGAGCAAGCCAAAAAGAGATTTGACTTGTATACATGTGCACATGTTTATGTACATATAATCACACAAAAGCCATTATTTCCAAGTCATTTATAAGCTGCTTAATAATGCCAAAAAAGATAAGATTTCTATAGTGTCAGTATTCCACATATTGCATTTTAATTCACTGGATTGATTGGATTAAAGTATAAACTAACATCTGTTTGGATAATTTCATATGGCGTACTGTATAGTTACCTTTTTGAATTTATTGGAAGCTACATATAGGATTCCTCTATTTATATATGTGGTGTGAATTCAAGGTATATTTGTTTCAAACAGTAGCTCTAATGGACTCCTTCATGCTGTCAGAGGAGCAGGTTAATTTTGATTCAAAGACAATATTTACAAGCACTTAATAAGTATACGTTCCAGCTGTCTAATTCCTGACACATAATTAAGAAAACAAGTACTTTTTATCAGTTTAAAGCGTTAGGACAAACTTGGTTATAGGTTTCTGGTGGCATTTGGTCAGTTATACACTTTTAAAGGGTTGGTTGTTTTTTTAACTTGTGCTAAGGTGACAGAGACCCAGGGCAGGGAAGGTGTCATCACTGCGGCAGTAATGAAAGGAAAGTTTACTTGCTTACACATCATTGCATCTCAATAAATCAACCTGAAAGTCCAGTCTGTGCTGGACAATCTTCACACATTAAAACATGCTGTCATATGATGGAGCCTGTTGTCTTAACCTTCTAAATGCTTCAATTAAAATAGCAGTGTAGCAGTGGCCTATTAACAGGTTTCTTATATTGGATACACTAGAATTTTATCAACCATGTTTCAGACTGAGGAGACTATTGACTTTTGCAGTGCACTGAAATGAGTTGTGCAATTTCACGTCTTTTAGATGAAGTAACCTGATTTCTTAAAGTGAACAGCTTTCTTATGTGCATGTAAACAGCAGAACTGCGAATTTTAAGGTCACTGGGCTGTGATCTGACTTAAGGAGGGACAAGCTGTAAAGATGTACTATTACAGATGGAAACAGGGGTTACCATCACAGTTTACAGTAAATGTTTGCACAGTAAATGTTCTGCAAAAGACTGAATATTTACCTGATGTTACATTTGCCAGATAGAATTATAAGAATCTGGCTGTGACAGTTGGGCATGAGAGTGAGTTAAATATTTCACTCATTTTGTGCTATCATGTAGAGTATTATGTTTCAGTAAATGTATAAAAAATGAAGTGAATGCTAGAAAGCATGTTGAAGATGGACTTGTATGGATTTTTTTGGGAGGCTGAATTGCTCAAATGCAGATGTACAGTATGCATACATGCAGCCAGTCTCCAAGGATCATTGAAGGGTTTGGCTGTGCCTTGCAGCACATTGCTCTCAGGATGCTTTCAGTTTTCTAAATTTTTCTCATTTCCTGCCAAAAACCAGTGGTTACTGGCAAGCGTCTACTCTGATCTAGTAGTGATGTATTTTGTAAAAAAAATCCTACATGTAACATGTAGTACCTTAATGTTAATTATGTACAGTTGAAATGTGGAGATGGCATTGCAAAACTTTGTACCTTTTTGTGTATATCCTTGTTATGCACCTTGAGATCTAGAAAACTGGGCTAATAGGGTGGCTTTACATGATGCAGCTTTAGCCAGATGAAGTAACGTTGGTGTCCATAAGGGAGTTTCTGTATAGTCGAAGACAAAAGTGGGTGTTTAAAAAAAAAAAAACTGCTTAGAGAAGATTGCCTGGCAGTTGCTGAGTCAGCAATCCTCACAGGACCTTTAAATTTTAACAATGAATCGAGGCTTAAAGGATAAGTTCGGTCATTTTCTATATTAACAGCATTTTCAACACTGTCCATACAGAGCCTAAAGCCCCTCACCGACTGCGTTTACATGCAGTTAAGTAACCAGGTTACTTAAGTGAATGTAAACACAGTCACTGTTAACGTTTGTCAGTCTGTCAGTCCTGGATTAGTTTATTCATCTATGCCACAGACCTCCATTGTTGTTCAAAAAAATGATTCAAAACACACCACTGCACCGGTTGACATGCTTCTGCATTATGAAACACCAGACCCTGATATTTGTTAAGAATTTTCAGAAATCTTGTGTATGTGCAGTTGACTCTTGCTTACTTCACACTAAAAAGCTGTGGCCGTTCAAAGGCTCTGGGGGTTTACACCTTTCACCCTAACAGGGGCAACATTTTTAAAAATTATTGTGTTTCGTAATACAGAAACCGGTGCAGTGATTTGTTTCTCTGACATGTTTTTAATCAGTTTTGAACAAGAGTGGAGGTCTGTGGTACAAACGAATAAGCTAATCCAGGACTGACATGCGTTAATTGTAAGTGGAGGAAATCATTGTTGCTTTAGTTTCTGTGTGGGGAGTGTTGAAAAACTGTTAATATAGAAAGTGACCGACCTTATCCTTTAAAGATGCTAATCAGAAATTCTGGTGTGATCCCTAAATCAAACCTATCACTTATTTACAGTAATAATTAACTAATGGGGGACCGTACTATTGCTAAGCACATCCATACTCCCAATAAACCAATCAATCTTTATTTATACAGCACCTTTCATACAGACTCATGCACTTCAAAGTGCTTTACAGACAAATATCAGTAAGGTAGAATAAGGAAATGAAGTAAATCCCAAGGGGATTAACTTCCTTGATTTTGTTAGTCCATTGCTTTTTCTCTGCTTTTTGTCCCTGAGGACATATTGTACACATTAAGCAGGGAGGTTGTAACATGTAAAGACAACCCTAATAGTGAGATCATGCTTTGATCACATTTAAAGGGAAATGCCACTTAATTTCTGGATTCATGGTAGTTTTACCTGACAGAGCATTATAACTTGATAGTAAAGCACCACAAGAATTTCCCCCCATAATGCTTAATGTTAGGTTTCTGTTTAAGACTCTGTTGTGAGTGAAATAACAGAAACAATAAGGGGACAGTTTACTGTGGTGGTATTTTATTATCTTAATAAAATAAGTGATGTTGAGCTTAAAAACAGTCTAGAAAGCTCGGCTTCCATTTGATTGAAGTGCAGTATCACATCATAAATCTGAGTATTTGTCCATTGGTTTTTGAAAGTGTTCATAATTATGACAAAAAACATTTAAAGAATTTTTAAACTGAGTGGTATTACTCTTTAATGGGGCTAAATATGACTTTGTCTTATTGGTGGTGCTTCAAAAATATATATTTCTTTATAATGTTTAGGTACAGACCATGATATATGTACAGACAAAGGGAAAAAACATTTGAATGTTTGGCCCAAATGAATTTTGGGCTTTGCTGACTTTATTTTTTCATGAAAAAAGACAAGGTCACTTTAGGCCAGCTGTCTCTTCATGAGAAGGTGAAACAAACTGCCTAAATGTTTCTTCATGTGAAACAATCAGATTGCAAGGCTGCTGTCAAGGTTGTTTCTGGCATTTGGCTTAAAGTTTGCGTGCCGTCCTTATAGATAGCTAAATAGTCATTGATTCCAAAAGTTGTGTTTTCAGTGCAAAAACAATAAAATACTGCCGTCTTTGATAAACCTAAAGTTGCTGATTGAGACACCAAATTAAGATCACTGGAATTTGAACACTAATATCATATGATTCATAGTGATAGTGAGGTCCTTCCTTAACCTAAACACTGGAATAGTCAACTACCCTGATGAACTCAGAGTACATGAATTTTATGTGTTGAGGGATTAATAACTGTAATGTAGGTTACAACACAAATCTATCAAAATTATACCATCAGGGTCTGTTGTGACATCTTTTATTTATTGTAGGGATTGTTCTAGATATTCAATTTTTGCAGTCAACAACTGAATCAGTGGTTATATCAAGTGATGTTCACAGGCGGGGCAGCACGGTGGCGCAGTGGTTAGCACCGTTGCCTCACAGCGAGAAGGTTCCGGGTTCGGGCCCCACCCCCGTGCTTGCGTGGGTTCTCTCCGGGTACTCCGGCTTCCTCCCACGGTCCAAAGACATGCAGCTTAGGTTGATTGGTGTCTCTAAAAGGTTGATTGGTGTCTCTAAAATTGCCCATAGGAGTGTGTGTGGTTGGTTGTTTATGTGTTAGCCCTGCGATGAATTGGCGCCTTCGCCCGATTGCTGGCCGGGATTGGCTCCGGCCCCTCCCATGACCTCGTTCAGGGATTAAGCGGTAGAAAATGAATGTTCACAGGCATTTTTGCGAGATACTGAACTTAATTGTATAGAAGATTCTTGGTCTGTAATTTACAACACATGAAATTGTCAAATCAATTTAGACTCATATTGACCTTAAAACAATTATTTTATGGTTTCATTAAGATGACATTGATTTTGCTCACAGACTTGTGTGTTGCTATTTCTGGCACAGTTTTCCATTGCTTGCCCTTCTTTGTCATTACTGTAATGCTAAAATAGCATCGATAGTAGCTGCCCTAGCCCACAAAGACACCGTTGTCATAGATTCCATCCAGACATCTTGGACATTTTTCCCATGTCAATAAAAGAAAAGGGAAGCATAGGAACATACTCATCTCAGATATTTGAGTTTTGCCTCTGTTTCTGAGATTGCCTTTAGGAAGATGCACTGTTTTCACTGGGTACAGACTATTTCCAAGCAAGAAATAAAACCTTGCTATCACAGCAAAAGAATCTAAATGTACCGATCCAGTATTTTACTTTGGCCAAAAGGTTGCACTAAAGGCCAGAATGGTGATATATAGCCACTATCCTTTGTAAGTGCCGCAAACAGCTAAGCCACAAATGTCTAGAATTGACTTTTGCTTGTTGATACAAATTGTATCTATACCTTGAATGTAACAAAATATGAAATGTATAATATGAAAATAGTTTTTATTTAAATAAAGGGGAAAAAAAGTTAATGCCATAATGTTTGTGACACTGTGTGTCACTGGGAGTAGCCCATTGGTATGTACTAACTCTTACTGGGAACAGTAGTTAATTTACAGGGACATTTACGTGCTACCTAAACGTGCACAGATACCCTGTGTACATCAGTAAGCATCATGTCCTCTCTGTACATAGTCGTGTGTGTTGAGTGTATATATAGAAAGCAATCTGTAAATGTAACAGTAACAGTTACTTAAGTTGTTCAAATACTAATACTAATTTCTGTGTTGTAACTTGTGCACCTTGGTTAAGTGCATCTATTTCCTCTAAACTGATATGTCTGCTTTATGCTATTTTAATGGGAATTTCAATATTTTTCAATATATTTTGCCTAATAAAACATGCCAAAGTTATTATTGGGTGACTTTGTCAAATATAACTTATGATTTTCTTATGATTCAACACAAGGGTTGTCATGCATTGAACCCTATATTTCAGAGGACAAAGGTTTTCTTTTCCACACACTGTAAACTAAAAGTAACTTAATGCCAACACAAATCTGTGTCTAGCCTTGCAGTTAAAGGGGGCTCAAAGAATAATGCAGAAATTGCGGTCTGTCCGTCACTGGCTGATCTCTGGGTGCCAAATGATGTCACCATGTGCCCCCAACATGACTGACAAGAAGCATAAGACAGTGTCTGTAGCACACTGGCAATGAATGGTGAATTTTGTATCACTTTTTGCTCAGATTTGTGTTTGATGTTTAATGCTCTATTAAAATTGGAACTTACCAGAGTGCTGTGCAGTTGATTTAATGACTAACCCTTTATGTTGGCAAATGCAGAGGTGTGTTGAATTGTGATTTCTTTTAATATAACATTTTTCACCAATTATAATTTAATAATTCTGCTAGCGGAAGCCAGTTTGCATTATATATTAACTTAAGTTCAGAACCAGTTGTTAATGGTTTAGATCAAGACCAAAGTGATTTTTAATGTGTACACATTAATAACTGGTTGACATACACTAACGGTTATGTTCATATAATTGTGAACCCTTTTGTTTCTTGCAGTTTGTGTTGCCATATAGTTTAAAAATTAAACTGTTGGTGTACATAGTACTGCAATAAGGGGCACACATATTGAAACTCTGGCTGTACATATATACAGTGTAATACTCAGGTTAAAACACACAAACATTTTAAATCACATACTTACTTGTTTTCTAATATTGGCAAAATACCGTGGTCACCTTTCTGAAGTAGTCTAGGTCTCCTGTTTGAGTAGACCATTGTGTCTGCAATGTAAAAAGGGAAACGTTTTGTGTGTGTGTTTGTGTGTTGTGATGATCTGCAGTATTGTAATCCACACTGACTGGAAAGTATTGCTTTTCTAGACCAAAATATACAAAAATAGACTATTTGAGCCTGTGGGCTCAAACAAAATGTAAGTCTTAATGACAAAATGTGTTACAATAAATAAAGCAAACTTCTGTTCAAACCGTGTTTGATCTTTTTTAATGAGACAGGACAATTACAGAAACACAACTGTATTGAAAGTTTTGTGTGGTAATCTCAGTCATGTATGTAAAAAAATGGATGATTAAACTTTGGAAATGGTTGTTGAATTTCTCAACATCTATCATTATGTATAGCTATACTGTAGCAATGTGTAACATAACTGATAACTGAGTATCATATTCGTAGCAATGGAAATTTATGCCATATTTCCCGATGATATTGCCAAAGGGAGCATCTATAAAGTGAAGAGAAATAGACCTAACACAATGCCCTGTGGAACACCATGACTAACTTTAGTCTGCTTGGAAGATTCATCATTAACATGAACAAATTGGAATCGTTCTGATAAATAAGATTAGAACCAACTTAGTGCAGTTCCTTTAATCCCAATGACATGTTCAAGTCTCTGTAATAAGATGCTGTGGTCAACTGTGTCAAAAAGCAGCACTGAGATCTAAGACGACAAGTATGGAGATGAGTCCTTTGTCTAAGGCTAGTAGGGGATCATCGGTGACATTCACCAATGCGGTTTCTGTACTATGATGGACTCTAAAAACAGACTGAAAATCCTCAAACAAACCATTCTTGTTCAAATGGTCACATAA